TCCACCTTAGTTTTCTGTGAAGAACGAAATCTGGGAATAAAGGACAGTCACGTGATTAAACTGACGGTGAACGGCTGGAAGGAATGGATTAGTCTTCTTTGTTGTTAGCCTTCACTCATTGCAGTCACTTTCATTTTTCTTTCTTTTTTCCTTTTTTATGTTTTCGTTTTGTTTCTATTTTCCGAGTTGATACCAGTTTATTTTTGTTTGATTTAATTTTTTAAAATTACATTTTACATACTTTTCGCGTAATTATGATAATTATTCGATGTTCCGGGATGTTCCGGAATGTTCCATGTTCCTGGTTTTATCGACGGCACATTTTTCGTTGCTCTCTTACGGACAAAACCCACGCTCTTATACAAGTACACCCAGAATTTCCAGAAACGTCTCTAAGAATTAAATAGCGTTGTTACAAGGTTTCTAAATTCGAATATTACACGAGAAATAGAACATTCCAGAAGGTTTTAGGTCACGGCTGAATAACTTCCAGTTCGAGATTTTAAATAACAACAAGCCGTAATTTTTGCGAAGGATTGGAATGACTGAGTATATTCTTCCCCCGTGTGATTCCCAAAATGTTGACTACAGCTGTGCAGATAAAAAATATAAACGGTACCGCTAAAATCTGTGATTTTTTCAATGATATTAACTTCAACAGATCGCAAACAACACTAGCCGAGAGGGAACTCTTCTTTCAAACTGTAAAACAGACGCCTGGTTAAAAATCAAAATTTTGCTTTCTGTTGTGGCAATTGACACAGTTAAACATCATCAATAACACAATATCACTAGTGATTACAACTGGTTTACTTCTACACTTCTGGTTTTGAGAGCTTTAACACCTACGGTAAACTAACGATAAAATTTTGAACTGACTTGGTTCTCTATCACGGCGGGCGCCTTTGACCTACATTAACTTTTCTTCGCTTCGGTAATTTTCCAAACGACTTCTGTTAATATTGGACGAGACTCCAGAAGAGTGATTTGTTAGATATTCTGGACTGATGTTCCTGTTGTTTCCGATAGCTTTCGGTCAGTGTAAAACGCAGACTGCAGACTACAGACCAGGGGTAAAATGCAGACTGAGGGTAAAATATAATATTAACTAGTAGTAATCAGAGATTATGAGAGTGCATTCGACGCGCTCACTTTAATATAACATAGGCACGCAAGGCGTGCAAGAGTTATTTTTTTTGTGAACTATAAGTCTCGGAGATAGGCACATTCATGGAACT